GGCTGGTGTCCTAGCTGCTGAGCAACAGGCGCCAAGCCTACAGTCTAACTTTAATAGAGAGTGAGGTAAAACATAGAGGAGAATGCCATTTAAGACAGCAGGTGGAATGCATGATTCTGCTCCTTCCTGAAATTGCAGCAAAATGACAGTAAAAGGATTTTTTTTTTTTTTTAGATAGAGTCTCACTCTGTTGCCCAGAGTACTGTAATGTTAGCCTAAATCACAGCAACCTCAAACTCCTGGGTTCAAGTGATCCTCCTGCTTCAGCCTCCCCAGTAGCTAGGACTATATGCACCTGCCATGACACCTGATTAAATTTTATGTTTGTAGTAGAGACTGGGTCTTACTCTTGCTCAGGCTGGTCTTGAACTCCTGAGCTCAAAGGATCCTCCTGCCGTGGCCTCCCAGAGTGGTAGAAATACAGGGTTGAACCGCTGTGCCCAGCCAGTAAAAGAATTTAAAAAACAAACAAACAAAAAAAAAAACCACTCAAGGACATAGAGAATAGGAGAGGAGAAAAAAAAAAACATTGGAAGCTGGTGAGCAGATGGACTAATAACAACTGACTTAGCAGAACCAGGAAAGCTGATTGCTAAGCTTGTAGCAGGAAAAAAGAAAAGCAACTGAATTATATTATAGAACCTCAAATGCCCCAGGAAGTGATGGGACATCAGGTACCTCTGAAAGTGCAGGTAAAGGAAGAACCAAAACAGGATGATTGAAGTCTGTTTACAGTATCCTCTAACAACTCTGTGTCCCACCTGAACTCCAGCAGAATACCCTGAAGTCCTGTTCTCTGGAGAGAGTGATGCAGAGGGAGTCTGGACCAAGAGACACAGCATATTTGAGGGCAGGATATTTTGCTTAAAATCAGCAGATTAAATAAAAGTTGTTTTTTTTTTTTTTTTTTTGAGACAGAGCCTCAAGCTGTACCCCTGGGTAGAGTGCCGTGGCATAGCTCACAGCAACCTCCAACTCCTGGGCTCAAGCGAGTCTCCTGCCTCAGCCTCCCAAGTAGCTGGGATTACAGGTGTCCACCACAACGCTGGGCTATTTTTTGGTTGCAGCCATCATTGTTGTTTGGCGGGTCCGGGCTGGATTCGAACCCGCTACCTTAGGTGTATGTGGTTGGTGCCTTAGCCACTTGAGCCACAGGCACTAATCCTAAATAAAAGTTTATTTACTAAAAGTTGACTGCCAGCCTTTTTCTAGGGCCAGGATCTGAGATTACTGGTGGTCAGACAGTACAGTGACATAATCTTCTCTGGAGAATATGACCTGCTCTAGAGGAAACATTTTTTAACTTACCAAGACCAAGTATAACAAACAGTTATTTTTTGGTCACTTTTTGGGGACAGTTTCTTTACAGCCAGTGTCAGGAACCCAACTTAGGTGCATAAAACTTCCCAACCCCTGTCTTCCCTAGGGTGATGCTTCAGCAGAATGGCCACTGTCCATCTGCCTTGCCCTAATTTTCATGGCAGATTATATATAAACACTATGTATGGCATTATATGGAATGGACTTGAGTATTAGCAGATTTTGGTATCTGAGGGGTTCTGAAACCAATTGACCATGAGTGTTGATGGACAACTATGTATTTTAAGCCATGAGTTTGTGCTATTTCTTTCTTTCTTTCTTTTTTTGTTTTGAGACAGAATCTCACTCTGGCACTGTGGGTAGAGTGCTATGGCATCATAGCTCACAGCAACCTCAAACTCTTGGGCTAAGTGATTCTCTTGCCTAAGTCTCCCAAGTAGCTGGGACTATGGGTGCCTACCAGTGGCTAGTTTTTCTATTATTTATTTATTTAGAGACAAAGTCTCACTATATTGCTGTCCGTACAGTGCCTCGGTGTCACGGCTCACAGCAACCTCAAATTCTTGGGCTTAAGTGATTCTCTGGCCTCACCCTCCCAAGTAGCTGGACTACAGGCACCCACCACAAGGCCCAGCTATTTTTTTGTTGTAGTTGTCATTGTGTGGCAGACCCTGGCCGGGTTTGAACCTGCCAGCCCCAGTGTACGTGGCCGGTGCCCTAGTGGCTGAGCTACAGGCACTGAGCTGTTTTTTCTATTTTTAGTAGAGATGGGGTCTTACTCTTGCTTGGGTTGGTCTTGAACTTGAGCTCAGGCAATCCACCCCTATTGGACTCCCCGAGTGCTCGGATTACAGGCGTGAGCCACCTTGCCCAGCTGTGCTGATATTTCTAATTCTTATACAACACTACAGGATTCATTTCTCTCTTTTCATATTTGCAATTCCCTTCACTAACAGTTAGAAATTCTTATACCATTTGGGACCCAATACCCTATAACAGGCTGATGCTGCTTCCCTCCCTCACGTGATTGTCTTCTTCAGTTTACCTGTACTCTGACACCTCTCTCTGGGCTTCTGACATTCCACCACCACCAAACACAGATGCCTACCTTGCTCTACTCGACCTTCAGAACTGACTTGTTCCAGGAAAGGAAAGGAAGGGGAAAAGGGTCCATGAATTCTTTAATGTGCCTTTTAAAGCCATCCTTTTACTATTACGAATAATATTGCAATGAATAATCATATTTACACAGGTTAGTATATGTTTATGATATATTCCTAGAAATGAACTTCCTGGCTCAAGAGAATGTGCATTTGCAATGTTGTTGGTTCCACTACAATGGTTTCCACAGAGGTTTAACATCCACCAGCAACATATGATGGTGCCTGAAAGAACTTAAAAGAATGGTAATTCTAAAACCCAGAAAGACCTAAAAGTTATATAATGACATTTGCAAAAATTAAGACAACTTGCTTTCTTTTTGGAAATACATTTATTGTTACATGAAATTGTCTACTAATCAGTTCCCTGGTAACAAAAATGAAACAACAAAATTTAGCTATTACAAGCAAATTTAGGAACATAAGACAAACAAATTTAGTAACCAAACAGCTGGGGTAAAAAGTAACTAATAGAACCCTCATGCTGGGTCTAGTAGTATACCCTTTGTAGTCCCAGCTACTCAGGAGTTTGGGGCCAGGACGCTTGAGCCCAAGAGTTCCAGGCCACCCTAGGGAAAATAGCGAGATGTAGTCTCACAAGCAAACAAAAACACAGAGCTCATGAAGAAACATAAGTTAGGACCCTAAGCTAAACAGGATTAGTGCAGTAATTCTGCACTTTACAAGGCAAAAATAACCCCACACAGCAGGATGACACAAAATGGCCATTAAGTAATTTTCTATCAAATTTGTCAGACACTTATCAGAAAACTGTTCAAGTTGTAAGCTCAAATTCTTTTTACCACTGGCAGTGGTATCAGGACTCTTATTGGAGGAGTGTCCCCTACTATTGCCTTGGACATGTCAGGCTGGATGATGGTAACAATTTAGCTATTACAAATTAGAAAAAATTAGCTATTTGAAGGTGGGAAGTTTGT